TATATATATATATATATATATATACCCTACAAAAATTTACTGGGTTCGTTTAGCTGGTCACTAATTGCTCTATAGGCTCTGGCCAACAACAAAGTAGTAAACATTTGACATCATCAATAATACAGTATATCCATTTCTAGGCTCTAGGCTCTCCATCTTCCACAAAAGGACCACAAAAATAAACCGAACCAAACAAACCCACTATATATATGCTCAAAAACAAGATCGGGAACGGTGGGATGTAGGCAGTCTTGACTCTACCCTCAATTACCACAAAGATCAGGTCTGAAAACATTTGGGAACTATATATATGTATGTATATATATATATATATGTGTGTGTGTGTGTATATATATATATATATATATATATATATATATTGCAGCTAGATAACATCCCATCAATACATATTTGATCCATTAAAACCAAACTAACCTAGTATATCTCGCTTGAAAGCAGGATCTGAAGGGGTGGGATGTACGCAGTCGTAACTCTACCCCAATTGGTAGAGCGGCCAAGGGACCACACGAATAAACCAAACCAAAACCAATATATCTCGCTTGAAAGCAGCGCCCAGGAAGGTGGGATGTACACAGTCATGACGCTATCCCCAATTGGTAGAGCAGCCAAAAGACCACAAAAGTAAGGTCTGAAAACATTTAGAACAAGATATATATTGCAGCCAAATAACATCCCACCAATACATATTCGATCCATTATCACACCAATACACAGTCGATCCACAAAACCAAACAACCACAATATATCTCGCTCGAAAGTAGGGTCGGAAGGGGTGGGATGACTGATAAAGCGCCACTCCGCCCCCAATTGGTAGAGAGGCCAGGAGACTACAAAAATCAGGTGTGAAAACATTTGGGAACTACATATATATTGCAGCCAGATAACATCCCACCAATACATATTTGATCCATTAAAAACCAAAAGATTTAGAACATTTTATCTACTTATAAATGGAATCTTGCTAACTAATTGGCTAGAAACTTTTCAGTTCCACATTTACCCCCCAAATGAAATTCCCAGGGGAAGTTCAACTTGTATTTCTCAAGAATATGCAACCTAAAGGCAAAAGATCAACATTTTTTGTTTTAATCATTAATAACTTTCTCCTGCATTTTCCGTAACTGGTGGGTCCCATGGTAAGAAAATTGATCAGGGAGGCAGAAGGAATATCATCATGCATAATGAGAGATCATAGTGATAGGCATTGTACCCTCTCAGGAAGATTCTTGGGCAATGGCACTGCAATAACATATCTCTGAGGATAAATTTTTGGAGTATTTGCAGCAGCTGCATTGGATGATGAAGCTTCGGCACTGCCCCCATCTGTTTGCACCGCCCTTCCATGGAATCTGGCAAAACGGTTGATGATGGAGAACTTCTCCAAATCTTGAAATTCTACTCTCAAATCCAAGATTGATGCACTCTTATCAAGCCTGATATAGAAAGAGGAATGATCAACTACTGCAAGACTGATAAAAAAAGGGAAATTACATTACAAACACGAAACCGACTAAACAATTAGGGTGCCTTTGCTACGCAGACAGGACTGGATAGAACAGAGTGGGACAGAACTGAATGGGCGAGAGTGAGGTAAGCAGGTGAAAGATTTGTGCAAGTTTTAGGGTTTTAACTTCACATGAGTAGTTTAATTTACCAATCTTGCCCCCCTCCCTGATTTTTGTTCCACCTATTTTGGTGGGACAAAAAAATGCATTTTTGCATCACTCACTCTTTCCATGTCCACGTCTAAAGGTCGCACCAAACATGAGACAAGTTTTTATTGTCATATCCCATCCAATCCCACATACCAAATGCACCCTTAAGTATTACATATGGGTCACACTTAAAAGATCATTTTATAAGTCTGAATATCAGAAACAAAATTACTGGATGACACCGTTCTTTTGTGTGAATTTAAATTATTGGGTCATGAGCTCAGTTCGAAGCATAAATGGATGACTCAGAAGCACAAGTTATTGGTGTTTTAAAGCATAACAAAATATCCAATCATCTAAACACATGTGTTGGGTATAATTAGCTACATGGGACTCTGTGATCCAGACTATATGAACACGAAGCAAAGTATCTAAGGGGCTGTTTGGTTGGTTTTCCATTAAGTCTTGTAATAAAATTGTTTGTATGATTAATCTGTCAGTATAGATTGGGAAGGATTTTGTTTGGGAGGAGTTTTTCATAGATGAATGAGCATGTTTTTAACTAGGAGAAGCATTTCGAGAAAAAAAACTTGAGACTTTTTGCATAGAGCTCCCCCTAGAAGCTTACTGAATAAGTCACTTACTATATCATTAAGCTACTACCAAACAGTCATGAATAACTGACCGAATAAGCTGCAAGTCCTATAAAGCTCATTAAGCTACTAACAAACAGACCCTAAATGACTCAAAAGTCCTTAAATAGTGGAGACTTTTATGGTATTAGATAAACTGGCTTCACAAACAGAAGCATGTCTCAACATAATACTTAGAAAAACAAGGCCTTAAAAAAGTTACCTTGAAAAATCATTTTCTAGCCTTCTTACTTTACTCATGTGGTCTTCCACAACTTCTAAAAGCCGATCATCATTTTTTTCTGATTCTCTGCTTTTATCAGAAAGGCTGCATTTGCCCAAAAAAGGAATATCTCAGAAATAGAAGGAAAATGTAATATGGATGGTTCAAACTTTTAAAATCGTTCTTACGAATTTGATCCACTATGAGAAATACTGGAATGACTTCTCACAGAAGATACTAGATTGCATGCATCTCCTAATGCAAGCCGAGCAGCATGAAATGCCACACTCCCGTAGCTTGAGGTAGAATCTGTTGACAGAACAGTGGCCGGGGGAGCGGGAAATAGTTGCTGCATTAGCTGTGTCGTCAAGATAATCCGTCTCTTTGGTCTTGGCATGGGGTGTGCATCTTCAATCACTTCACCGTCATCTTCAACCTGTCATCCGCATATGCTTATTAGAAACTACAGATAACTACACAAGGACTTAATAATAAACAAACACGCGAGAAAGCACGCCTTTTCCATCAAACGATTGGTTGCTCCAGACCATTCCATTGAAGCCGTGCTGCAGACAAAGAAACCGAACAACAGGTTAACAAATCTTGATCAAAGAGAAGGTACAACCAAGTATGAGAAAAAACAGTAGAATATATGTTTTTCATTGAAAAGAGAACAGTTATTCACAGGGTAAGGGAGAACTAGTGAAGTAATAAAGTGTTTATCCATTTGACACGCACCAGATGCTTTGAAGTTCTTTGAAACCCCCTGATACTTCCTTGAGCCAAGGATGAAGTTCAGCTGGAGAGCACTTACGCTTCTTTGACCTCACGGTAACCAAATTTTGAACACTGGTGTTTGTCTGCGATGGAGGGGAGGAGAATTGCTCAACTGCCATAGATGATGGAAGTGGGTTCTTCAAGATAACACCAGCCTGACTGGTATCAGCTGCAGCACTTGCTTCCTCCTTTACATTATGTGTCTCAAAACTACCATAAACTTTCCCAATACCCAATGGCTGTTCCAAGGTCCTTACAGCATCAGCTCTTTGTGATAACATCTGACCACTTTTAAACGTTCCATATTGATCAAACCAGGAAGGGGCCATCTGGGGACTTATGTGAGAGTGCTCAATTTCACCAGAATTCATGTTGTTGCTAGGAATGCAACTTTGAGACCCACTTTGATCAGATGCAAGTACATCTTTTGAAAGTAGATTGGCAGGTAGAGAAGCCACATTCTGCATGACATTATCAGTTGGCCCTGTGAATCTTGGCATTTCAGAATCCCCAGGCGAGGCTGTTGTATGGCAAATTGATGAATCTCCTACCATATTCTTGAGTTCTCTTGGCTTCCCTGACCATGGAGCTACTTGCTGACCACCCAAGTTGTTATCTGAATCTTTCAATCTCTTCAAGGCCCTATTATTGGGATCAATTTCTGTATTTCTCATAGCTTTCATTTGGTTTAGTATAGAAGAATTTTGATGCAAATTATTTGGTTTGAGAGAACGACCAAACGCTTCAAGATCCCTCTGAGATGCAGCAGGGTTAAGAGACGATGCATCAGAGAAAGGCATATTGATGGAATCATTGCCTGCTGGCCCATTCATCATTTGAGCTCGGTCAACCTTTTCAGATGACAGATTTAATGATGGGGATTCTTTTGCTGACTGCTGCTCTCCTACAGAAGTAAACCCCTGTGAATTCAAAGAACTTGCACCATACTTAGACAAGCTATTCCCTCTTTTTTCTGCTTCTTGTTGCTCTAAATTCTGCTGACCCAAGGAAGTAGATTCCACAATATTTAACTGGTGTGATGGGGAAAGATTTGATGGTCCTTTACGAGGTTGACTTGCTGAAAGAAGTTGTTGAGTTGGAAGATTTCCCCATGCATTTGGCAACATTTTTGGGAATGCACCTGGTTGAGAAATACCAGAATTTGTGTGGGGCTGAGAGGCAGGCAACTTCTCCCCTGTGGAAGGTTGTGAGGCTTGCACTCTTTCACTTGCTACAGCATTATCATATAGACCAGAGCTAAGTGATCTGCCACGAGTTTCATCTGCTTGCCTGATTTGAGGAGAATGTCCATTCAAAGATTCATTGCCAGAACGATTTGTCAATGCTTGCCCCCTTGCACCAATCATTTGATGGTTTTGTGGCTGACTTCTTGAATTAGGAAAGTCAGTACCTAGAGCTGCAGAGAAGTTATTCATCATCTTATGCCCTGATGTTTCACTTGCACTTTGCGCTTTCACTCTATCATTCTTAAATTCTCCATGTGATGTGTCCTGGAAAGGAGGAAAAGGAGACATCTCGGCAAGACCCTTGCCTCTTGGATTAGCAGAGGCCTGAGCCTGACTCAAAGAATTAGGTTTGATGGTCTGTATAGCCCTTGGTGAAGCATGATTAGGCAAGGGTAACCGCTGTGAAGGAGGTCCCAATTGTAAACCAATCCCCTGGGAGTTGGATGACTGACTTCTCTGGTGGCCACCAAAAGATCCATCTGAATTTTCTGGTTCAGGAATCTCAGATGACAAGTTACGTTCTAACGAGTTCAAATGCCTTGCAATTCCACGCTCTCCTGATTGATCCACCTTGTGAAGAAGCTCCAGCATATTTTGACTGATAAGTCAACAATTCAAGTCAATAAATGACAGAACAGGTCTTGTACTTCTTATATATTATATTAAAGGTAAAAATTAAAGATCCCCGAAATTTAAATAATACCTTGGTTGAGAAGCCTTGTCTGATGTGGACAAACCTACAGATCTGTCATGGGGCGCAAAGATATTAGACACATGACCAGGAATCATGCCCTTGAATCGCATATCATCGGATCCTTTCGGAACTCCTTCAAGCTCAGGTACATACCCCTGAAAAGAGAGCAATTTTCATATCCAACCAGACAATATCATAGACAGAATTACCATGTATATACATAGACCAAATTCATCTTTCCCACTTCAGGAAAAGTTTTACAAACCTGGCCACTAGTTTTGGTGTGTACATAATTTCCTTGATCTTGACCTCCTAATCCTCGAGAATGTTGCAGGGGCATGGCCCTTGTATTCATACTTTGTCTTGCTCCATAGGGCATTCCAGCATCTTCATCCAAGTTCCCCATTGGATGATACTGAAACTTCCTTGGACCAGATGTCATCCGGCCAGCCTGATTAGATAAACTTTGTTGCATTCCAGGCAAGGATCTCGAGTCACCAGCATCTGATGAAAATCTTTCCCTTGGACCAACAGTATTAGGAAGGTGAGATGAACCAGATCTGTAGCTGTCATTAGAGTTCTCCCTTCTACTGCTGCTTTCCATCTCGTGCGTCTTTAGATCCTCCTTATCGGAGCTATTAAATGATGATTCAGAGACCTGAGGACCCTTGTTCAAGCGACGCTGTGATTTCTCTGAGTTCTCACTCCCTTTAGATTTCACCGATGAATCAACATGTTTCCAGTAATTAAGATGATGGTTGTTTGGAGAGAACTGATTAGAATGACTACCACCCTGCAAGTTGCTTAAATTTGGTATAACAGCAGTGTTACTTGCAGCAAGGCCTTCTCTGTTTACAGGCTCTCTTTCAACACTGGGATGAAGCATAGGATTAACACTAGATATCCTGCCGCCTTGACCCGTTTCATCATGCATTACTCTCTTCCAATCATTATTCTGAGATTGCTGCAATGAATTGTCTTTCTCATTGATATTGAATCCAGTGTTGGCAGAATTTTCATATAGCTGGCTATCTTCAACACCTACCTTTTCTAGAGCTCCACGATTTAACCAATTGCTTCCTCCTGAAGAATGTTGGTTCATTAGTTTAGAATAATTAATGTTTGGTCTCTCATCATCCTCATATGAATTGTTCTTACCATGATGCGGGAACCCCAAGTTGCTACGTTGCTTATCATTCATATTGGCACCATCAGCAAGGGCAACAGATCCAAAAGTTAATGCTGAGGCATTAGGCAAGTTAATACCACTCAAAGCTTTTTGATGTTTCCCGCTTTCTTCATATGTTGAAGGTTGTTCGCCCGATGGAAGTTCAGGACTCTGAAAATTCAAATCAGGCCATTCTTCCTGTAAGCCTGCACCGTCAGTAGAAGTTTCTGCTACTGCAGACTGCATAAGAGCACTCCAGCTACCACTCTGAAGAGAAGGCAAGCCACTCCCAAATTCGTTATCATCCAACAGACTAGAGACTCCACCCATGTTTTTGCTACTGCCAAAGGCATCCCAGATGTTATCATCTGAACCAAACAAAATTTTCTCCTCATCAGGATCTAAAGAAGCTGCACCATGTGAAGATGTAACTTCTGTAGCTGATTTATCCTGCACCATCTCTGTAGAGCCGATTAGATCATGTGCAACATGGGATTCCTGGACAGATGTACTTTGTGGTGCTTTTAGTTGCTGAATGTGCTCCACCCTCGTCCCGCTGCTTGGCCCTTGACCAGATGTGTTCCCAAATAAACTTTTACCTGGGAGGCCTTGCCTATTCACTGAAGCTCCATCCTGCACTGTAAGCTGTTCTGGAATTACAGCATAATGGTTTCCAGGAAATGAATTGTTATAGCTTGGCAATTGCTGAACTGAAGCTTTATCTGTTGCAATATGAGGATACTGGTTTAGAGGCCCTCTTGAGCTAGAAACAGGAACCCCATATAAAGACTGATCAACCTGCTGTTGAACAAAACCCATGGACCGTTGCGGCTGACCCTGCTCAGGGGAAAAGGCAAGTCCACTAGAGGATCCCTGCATCGCTGGAGAAGCGCGCTGCAACCAGTTTGTGTTACCTGCTGCAAGCTCATTCCAAGCATAACCGGAAGAATCAGAAGTTGGAGTGCCATTAACAAGTCCATGTGGATGGCTTCCGGATGCCTGTCTAGCAAAGGAAGAAGCTTGATTTAATGAGTTCTGTTGCCTTGCCTCTAGTTGTCGAAGATCCTCTTGCCTTTGAAGCTCTTGTCTTTGAAGCTCTTGCCTTTGAAGATCCTGCCTATGGAGATCCTGTCTCTGGAGCTCCTGCCTCTGGAGCTCTTGCATCTTCCTAAGCATGAGTTGCTGTTGCAACTGCTGTATGTCACCAAATCCGGACTGCTGCTGTTGTAATGGTTGCATCGAACCTGGATACTGACTATTCATCTGATGCTGACCTCCAAAAAGGTCAAAACTACCATGAGCCTCAGAAGTCTCTGATCTAAAAGGATCCTTTGGAGTTTGCTCGGAACCAGCTTCTTGTTGCGACTCACAGAATGAAAAGCCCCTCTGACTCGCATTATTGCGACCATATTCTGTATCTACACCCAAAAAGTTTGCTTCGTCCGGCCTTGTTTGAAAATTTTGACGTCCATACATGTAGCCATTCGAGTTTGCCTGTTCGCGGTGAGACAGGCTTCTAGCGAACTCAGGCCTTGAAGATGTTTGTGCAATGTTGAAAATATGTGGGTCAGGAACACGTTGACTGTCGTGTCCTCTCTCAGTTTCTGCTTAGGCATGAAAAAGAAGCGAGGATAAAGTTTAGTTGTTCTCAACATAGAAAAGCATAATACAAAAAGTAATGTTAAAACCACTACATCTTGCATATTATTCACCCAAAAAGAAACTGGAAATTATAATTTGAAAAATGACAAAAATTGTCGAGTAACATCAAAAACTGCCCTTAAGAGCCAACTGTGTTACCTGATTGTTGTGGATTGTAGTTTCTTGGATTGGAATCTGACCCACCAAACTGTTTCTGACTACCAACCCACAGATTGTCATTTAAAGACCAATTTCCATCACCAACTCGCGAACGCGGAACCTGGGACAGGTTGTCTTGTGCAAAGAAATTGTGAACCCTATCCCCAACTCCGTTGCCAGGCATTAATGATTATGCCCCAAGTTTAGAGGCTAAAACAAGATGTCTTGTAGATTTACCTTCAAGAAGTACGCACAATTAAAAGAAAACTCAACCACCTCCAATTCCAAATCCAGTTACTTGAGGTCCCAGGTGTTTATGTAGCTTCAGCATTTATACAGTAATCGAGTATCACACCTCCATTAAGTTAAAACTATCTTTTCACATAATCCTGAATATGAACCATCAAGTGTACGGATAATGAGAGAGCTATAAAGTGGATACCAAAAAGATGCCATCAAGTTTATGCACAATTTAGAGAATGAGCGCAAAACAAGAATATGTGCAAAGATACATGGATAAGACGCTATCGGCAGCATACAACTATACATACTTGTCACTTGTGTATGTTCTATTAAAGTCAAATTTAATGTTAATCTCCTCAACCCAAAAAAGAAATATTCCCTAATATCTTTCCATTCATAGATCCTATCTAATGTACCCACCCCTCTTCTAAAAATACAGAAGAGATAAAGCATTTCAAATGTCAAAGCTAGATCAATACAATGAAATTATGTTACTGTTGGTACCTATGAAACAAACATGTATGAGAAGCAATACAAACATGACATCCACAACAAGAACATACTAGTGGTTATGATATCTCCACAACAAACAACAGAAGCAATGCAGATATGATGTTCCCAAAATGCATCTTGATCTCCTCCTTTATATGGCAAGGAAATTAAGAAATCTAGCATCCTTCATAAACTATTACTTTGCTGGTCTTGAAATATGTGCAACTTTTGACTTTCACTCTCCTTTAATCACGTCTAATGTACTAATTTGACTCTTCTTTAGTGTCACCAATATAAAAATAATGAAAATAGAAGATTTATGGTAAGATGTTAAGAGCAATAATCACAGTTAGGTCACGAGGTTAATTACTACCTTCCTGTTAGTTACTTTCATTGCAGATACTTCAGTATGGACCACATGAAAAGAAAAGTACAGAGCTTGTTTGGAATGAGGATAAAAAGAATTAGCTATCAACAACCATTCATATATTATCTCTAAGAAACCAAATTACTAAGATGAAGGTTAACAAACATTAATTTCTATATCAACAATGAATTAACTTCAGGATTCCACCTTCAAATACTAGGGAAAGACAGCATGTTCAAGAACATATACTGGTTTTGTTATCACTGACGCAGTTCAACTTTACTTGATGACAAGATGTATAGGAGCCTCCTTAGCGGTTTTATGGAGATATAATTTAGAGAACGGTTATTTCAGAATTTGATGCATCTGCAGAGCAAATGCAATTTGAACTCTCTACACCAACATTAAGTGGTCCCTTTCCTTTCTGTATGATACTACATTAGCTGCCTACACCACACCATAAGAATCCTTTCTAGTTCGTCAACAATCCGTAGATTAGCAGTACTGATAAACAAGTAAGCTCCTCCAAAGGTTTCCAACAACTTCCAATGGTTCTCATCTAACTCCCACCCCAACTACACACAATTACAAGACACTTGGTTGAATTAATTTTATGGAACAATCAAATGTGACTATTTAGCAAGTCACGTATTAGTATCTAGGAGTCGAAACAATGAGCTTTGAGTAACATCTAGTAGCATCTTTGGCAAGAATGGATCTATATAGAGACAAAAAGACAATGAAACCCCCTTGAATGTTTTTTACGCTCCTCCATTCTCCACTAGTTGTCCTCATTTACCGGGCACATTTATTAAGAACTACTCTTTAACTACTAAAAACAAAATACTATAATTCTCATTTTCCAATTTTACCCTCACACAATAATGTAATACTGTTACCATTTTCATTTGATCATTTCAATAATAAACATTTGCCCTCTTTAATATAGGACATCCTTCGGTGAACACCCAAGAAGGAAAGCAGGTGATTATTAGCAACAGAGACAGTATAAATTAGCATGACTATATTAGCATAAAACGTAGCTGATCAGATATATTGGACAGTCCTCAATTAAGAGATCATGTGTTCATTCCTACTGCCAACCTCTTTTTTCCAATAGCATTATTGCATATGTATATTTTACATGCCAATGAATGCCTCGGTTGAAATACACCTAGCTCAGTTGGTAAACTGCGTTGGTTTAATCATAAGGTTGCGGGTTCAAGTTTCATGGTTGCTATACATTTTTAGCTAGTATGTAATTCTTATTATCTCAAACCAAAAACTTAAATTTTGTTTTAATTCCGAAATCAGCCATTCATCTGTATTTCAATCATAGCAGTTGTCAATTAGAAAATAGCTATCACGAAATTTTAAATATGGTGATTAGTTATACATACAGCCAGAGTTGACAGCCAATTATGTCCCGAGGATATATATACATACACACACATATATACACATACAGACACATCTTGTTTAACGTTGTGTATTGCTAGTACCCTGTCTCATTAGTTGGTGACAACATATATGCTAATTAGTATGTTTATTTCCTAAAATATAAACAGAATTAAAACCCATATAGTTTGGCATATAAGAGTAGCAAATATGCGGGTAAAAATGCTTTGTAATTCACTTCTTTCTTCCTATGGCCTCATGAGTCAACTCCCCATACTTTGTTTAGCGTCAACTGACATTTGAAAACTTTTTAACACCACATTTGTGGCTACTTTTTTCATTATATAATGGTAGATGCATACACAGGATAAAGCCTATACTGCATGTATTTATTGATCTACAAAGAGGCATAATAAAGTAACAAAGCGAGTAAGAGTTTCCTCCTAAAAATTAACAAAAAGAACTATGTTGATACGATTGAACATATCCCTGCTAAATCAACATGTGCAACAACTGAATGCCCTTTATGATTCGTAATACAGTAAATTTTACACCTACATCCAACTGCTAGCCCCTATCTTTCACAATGCTTGCTAGAGATGCATAATATGATATTGCCATAACCAGAAGTTGCATGATTGATGATACCTTCAATATATGTTATCAAGTAACCCATGGTTTTCATAAACATTGAAAGGTACCTATATAATCTACTGGTTATATCTGCATATTCCACTTCTACAGTTTTTTTCTTACTTAAATCTTCTTTACCATTTCGAAATGGAAAAAAGAATCCAATGATCATGGGCCAGGTAAAAAAAAAGGTAAGGCATCGTAGATGCAATCCCTTCAATGAAACAACATAGGAAAACAGTGCTTAATAATAAAGGAATAATGTGGATGCATATCCAGGATGGTTAAAACATAACCTACTTTCACACAACGGATCATTTGTTGGCTTTGTTCCCAAATGAAGCATTTAAAATATAATGATATGATGATGCCTAAAGCTCGTCTGGACCTCCACATAGTTCAGGTCAAGCTATAAATTACCATAGCAAGTGATATCAATCAATATAAGTATTATAATGCATAAACCTGAGCAGTATGTGTTTTGTTGAAAATATTAGAGAAATAAATAAAAACAGAGTTTTTACTGGTCTTTCCTCATTTAGTTGTTGATTCATAAATGCGGTTGAAAATAGATATACTAATTCCAGAAATTGAAAATCATGAATCATGGCAACTCTTGTTCAAAGTACTTGCATAATATGTATAAATATAGAAAGGGAAAGTAGAAAATATATTGACATTAATCACAAGAAACATTACCTTGTATCATTAGTTACTTGTTATGATTTTAACAAACACCATCAATAATGCTTTTCGTTTGTGTGGTACTAACCAGTAACCACTACGAAGTTTTGTATCAATAAAATCTACAAAGAAACCAACAAAAACAACCAAATTAAGGAAAGAAATCTAAGATAAAATTTATAGAATAATAATACGATAGATGGGTGTTTGCCAAGACAACAGCAGAAAACAGGATTGCACTTGCTAATAAGGCCTCAAATATATGTAAGTTGTCACCTATTACAACATAAAATAGTATATGGTGAAAGATATGAAAAATAAATTATCATAAAATTTTATTCGCCGCGAACCGTTCAGTTCAATATGTGCATCTATTTGTAAAACCAACAGAGCATTAACCGTGCACCTAGCTTGCAAGAAACCTTCCCTTTCAGCAAATAACTATTAAGTAGATATTGTTGGCCACCTCAGTGAAAATTTTGTAGAAATTTCCCTTATAGACTCAAATTCCTCATTCTTAACCATTCCAAACACAGAATATCCGGCTTCACTAATAACTTAGTACTGAATAGACCCAATGTATGATGCATCAACTTCAAAAAAAAAATCATAGTCTGGAACTCAGACTAACTAGATGACATACAGTTGTAGAAATGCAGATAAATAGTTGCTAGCAGATGAATTGCAGTGTCAAGTTTTTGTAAATCCTGGTGGACTCATATCAACTCTACTTCATTTATCTATTGTTGCTCTCAACTAAAGCACACTCTCTCCCTAGCCTTGTTACCTAGGTTATCTGCCTCAAATCTTTTCATAAAGAATCACAGATATAGCTGTCAGCTGTAGCTAACTGAGCATAAGTGGGTCCATAAAGAACCAAAGAACTTCAACAAACATAGGTTCAACACACTCGATCAAAAGTCAAAGTGTGGCTCCTAATTGGGAATCGAAGGTGTTACAAAAACTACCAAAAGGGCACGACCCCATAAAATTTTCTGGCATACCACAGATATCGTCAATTAAGCACGACGAAAAGCAACCATATACTCCGAGAAATGTTGATATTCAGACCGCCACAGTTGCCACCACAACTAATCAGTTAAAAATTACGGGAAACATACATACATACACACATTGCATGGATATATATGGAAACCTCTTAAGATATCTACCTTTAAAACCCAAAATTCCTTACCAAAACCGCAAAATCTGCCAGATATAGCGAGAAGATCAAAATTGCTAAACGTTTTCCACCCCAAAATTCCATAAATATCACCAATTTATTTAATCAGACAGAAGAAGATAGATACGAACCCAAAGGCCTTACCTTCGGAAAGTAAAACTAAAGGCTTTTGCTTTTTGGATGATAAAAAATTAGGGTTTTGAGAAAAAACGAAAAAGGTGTGTGACAACTTACTTAGAACATTGAACCATAAACGCCGGTAGAGCTTGGAATCGAAGCTTTGTCGTGCCTTAAGTTGGGAACTAGGGTTTGAATCGGTGAGAAAAATGGGGGAAGTCGAGAAGATGAGGGATTCAGAGAGAGAGAGAGAGAGATAAAGTGATCGTGAGAAAATTTCAACGAACTGTAGAATGAGCCTAGGCCTAGAACCGAAGCGGAGGTTCGGGTGATAACAAACCGCGTGGTTCGGATCGAGGCTGAAAGATTGCACCTCACCTAGTTATTCACACCAACCTCTTTTTATATATGGAAATATTATTACTATCGGTTTTTGAAACTACGTTAAATTACCTTTTTACCCCTAATTTTGAAAATTTCCATATATGTAAAGTATAAATTTTATATATATAAATTTAATTTTATATATATATATAAAATATATTCCAAATGCAACCATGTTCATTTGTACAACCAATTTAACTCAATCAATTTAGATATTTATGGAAATGATGAGAGTTCATCTATTATTATTTAAATATTTATGAAATATGACTAGAGTTCATTATTTATGATCAATACTTTATATTATAAAAAATCAATATTTTTATGAAATCACATATTCATCAAATTAAATGGACGGTTGAGATTGAGTTGCATTTGTTGTACAAATATAAAGAGTTGCATAATAACTCACCTCTATACATATATATATATATATATAATACTCCCATAATTCAGCGAGACACATCTCAATTTTAATGTTTTGTTTTATTTCTTTTATCTCAATCAAGGTTATAATACGGTTTTATTTGGTTTTGATAAAGCGATAACATTTTTATTTTTGAATAAAATATAAATATGAAGATATCATAATAAATTGAAAGAAAAAAATATTCACAATAGTATTAAACTAACTATTTAAAGTTTCTCCTTTTTTTGTGTATTTTTAACTCATTTTTTAATTTTTTCAATAATATAATTTTTATAAAGATAATAATGAAATATTTTATTAGAACGCAATATTATCCTAATTATATTTAAAATGAGATATTTATCATTTATTTGATTATGTTTATCTACAATTAGTTACACGAATTCAAACATAAATCTTTAATAAGTTGTACTTACGCACAATTCACTTCTAATTTTGAATTGTTAGCAATATGGATCAATAAACAATACTTCATGTATAAAAAATGTTGTTTAATAGTTTTTGTCAAATGTTTTATAATATATTATAGATTTAAAAATTCAAACATAATTTATTAGTTTTTTTTTTTTATTATTAATTTTAAGGGTTAAATGCATGAAATAGCAACCTAATTTTATAATATTCTTATTATAGCATTCTACTTTTGTTTTTCTTTATTACAATAATATACTTTTAAATTATTTTCTATTAAGGTGTCGCACTTTAAAAAATCTACTCATTATAACAATTGTTAACTTGTTACCTTTTAAACCGGTTAATCTATTGATTTTTTTTGTTTGTGTGGCTTTAATGAAGTGACGTGGATGACACGTTATTTTGATAACTTAATTAAAATAAAAATAAAAACTTATTTCAAATTATTATTATTGATTTTCATTTTTTGTTACTATGATTTAAAAAAATATTTAATTTTTTTGACTTTTTCTTAKTAAATTGAATGCAAATTAAATATTCTAGAGTAAAATATTTCTTAAATAAATATGATACATTATTTTTTAGATATATTTTATTTGTAAAAAAAGGTAACACTTCTTATTTTATATTGTTTAAAAAAAATACATATCTTTTAAAGTTCTCTCTAAAATGTTAACGAAATAAATTGTGTTCTACAATTTTTAAATATTGTTATATCAATAAATAATTAAAAAAATCTAATTAGTTTAATATATTTATGTCAAATAAAAGTTTTTTAACAAATATAATATATTATTTAAAAATAATATTTTTTTAAATAAACAATTATTATTTTCCTTTTTTAAAAAACACATATTTTTTTAAAAAGAAACAATTCTTATTTTCTTTTTTCAAAAAACACATATTTGTTTTTTATAAAAATTATAATTAAGTAACTTTTAGAACTCAATGGTTATTCTAATCATATTTTAGATTTTCTGATATTTAGATGAGAAGTTTATCATGTATCTGATTATATTTATCTGCAGCTAGTTATACAAATTCAAATTTGGAGTTTTAACAAATTGTATTTATGCAAAATTTACTTGTAATATTGAATTTTAAGTAACATGCATTAATAAGCAGTTTTTCATGCATAAAAATTATTTTTAAAAGTTTTTGCCAAATATTTTATAATACTAGAAGCGTACTCGCGCAATGCAGCGAGATACATCGTGTTTTTAATATTTTATTTTATTCTTTATCTCAGTCGATGTTATAATATGG